GGCTGGGGATCAGATGGAGGATGAGGGGAAGGGGCTGGAGAGGTGGCAGGGAGGGAGAAAGGGAGATGGAAGGAGGGAGGGAGGGAGAGGAAAGAGGAGGGAGGGGAGAAGGAGAGCTGGCTGATAGCGGGATGGGGTCCCTGCAGGGAGCATGGGGGTCCCCCCCTCCCTCCAAGGGACACCCCCAGCAGAGGGATGGCACGCAGAGGGGCTTGGGGAGGGAGAGGTGGGCCGGGCGGATGGATGGAGGTAGGGGGTGCGGAGGGGTGAACCGAGGGAGGGAAGGGATGGCGTACAGGTTGGATGCAAGGGATAAAGGGATGGATGGGCAAAGAGATGGAGAGATGGAGGGGACGGAGGGGTGCTGGGAATGGACGGATGGACAGCAGGACAGGCAGAGGATGGATAGATGGATGGGGTGGAGGGGGTGGAGGGCTGGAAGGAGGGATGGATGGAGAGACGCAGGAAGAGAGGGATGGATGGGAGAGTGTAGGGGCTGGATGGAAGGTGCACGCTCTGGAGGACGAAGTGCAGCTGGAGGAAGGAGCGGGGCAGGCAGGGTGCAGCAGGGGCACCCGGTGCAGTAAAGCCATGTGGGGATGATCCAATGGCTGCGCACCCCCCGGGGCGGCAATGGGCCTGTGCGGGACCCGGCGTGGCCCTGCTGCCCTGCTCAGAGCTGGGCGTGCTGAGAACAGGCACAGCTCAGTGCAGGTGAGGCGGGGGAGACGGGGCCCATGGCGGGGGCACTCACCTGAGAGAGGGCGACGCACTGCCGGGGTGGGGGAGAAAAGGGGAGTCGAGGGAAACTGAGTCACACAGGGGCACCCCCAATGGGGACCAGTCCTGTCACCCTGATGCCCCTAGTCCCAGAGACATCCCATGGGGACCTGACACCCCTAGTCCCAGAGATGCCCCATGGAGAACAGAGCCCCTTACTCCAGATACCCCTCACCCCAAAGAAGCCCCATGGAAGATCAGAGCCCTCCAGCCCAGAGACCTCCCATGGGGACCCCAGATGCCCCTCACCCCAGAGACGGCCCACAGGGAGCAGAGCCTCCCCA